CCGGAGGCGCAGTGATGCCGAAATATTATGAGGAGAAGGAGGAGGATGGCAGAGCGTGTGCCGGAGTGAGGGAGGATCTGAGGAGCTGCTTACTGGAACATGACTGTGTGCGGAAGGTGCTGAACGACACCAAACCTTCAACACTGTGTGCTTATTCATAGGGGAGATGTGTTTGCTGTTTGTCTCTCTCTCTCCCCCTCCCCCAAACACTGCGAGTTGCCAGGCAGCGAGCAGATTCGACCGCAGTTTTCAAAAGGACAAGCTTATGGGGCTGGAAAAAGCAAGGAGAGTGGGTTTAATGAGCTAGCTCTTTCAAAAAGCCAGTATAGAAACCATGGCCCGAAGGGCACTATGTCGTTCTAATGATGGCAGTCTTTATTAATAGCAGGAGCTTCGTTGATGTGTTTGCGTAACACGTATGTGGCACTAAGTATAAGGTTGTGCAGCTGATGTTGATAATGTGTTAGAATCTTCATTGCTTAGTTTATAATATCATAAGAATCAGCTGATTAAATTCTTCTAAATGCTGGTGAAAAGTATGTGGCATTTTTGGTTTTGTAATTGAAGCCATGGAATACAAAAAAAAGAAACTGAATGTGCAAAAGCAAACCAATGTGTTGGTAATATTCAGTAGGTAGTATGCTGAACCTTTTTGTATGATGTTAGTCAATTCTAGACATCACACATTTTAGGAAGAATTTTGAGATCTTGGAAAGGGTGCAAAGGAGACTGCCAAATGATACCAGGGACCTGGGGCTTTGTTAGATAATCCCTTTCTGTGCCCTGTCCATTGTTTGATTCAATGGGGCAAAGCAAGATCTCCTGAGTGCAAACCATTAGCAATTACGTTAGTATATCTGTGGAAGCAATACCTGTCTAAATTACTCTCAAAATGCCATAGTCACTGGACTTCCTCTCTTAATGTCTTATTTAGCAAACAGTCAAATCTAATCCAATACACCTAAATTTTAACTCCTTTGTATTTCAAGTAGGAAGGAAAGACACCAAAACAGTGCTTAAAAGAAGGACATTGCACAGCTTTACAACGTACTTTCTTTGAATGTAAAAGATCAATGGTAAGTATCAACCTTTAAATAGCCATTTTTTAGTGGTTTTTTTTAATCCATAACAACACTACTGCACCTTTCTTTTGGAGGATTTCACAACATTCCAAAGCAACTTCTTACAAATAGTGATTGCCAATCTTCCAACTGTCTTGGATCTTATCTGGCATGTTTATGTTTTTAATTTGGTGACTGTTGCCCACAAAATCATGTTGGCAATTCTGAAATTGTAGCCTTAGTAAGATGTTGAAGAAAGGGTTTAAAATAAACTGTGTTTGCCATCTTTACCCATCTGAAACTAATTGTATCTTCAGGATTTAGCATGTGGCAAGTGGATTGCAGAAATGGTGAAAGTAACGGTCTGTTACTCTTGGCCTCACTGCAGGCTAAATTGCCAGTCTCCCCCAACCGTATTGATGTAGGCAGTCAAGTTGTGATGAAGACTTCCCTTCTTCACTGTAGTGAAGTTATTAGAAACCTATAACAGTTGTACCCAGGATTTTAACAGTGCATGAGTAGTAATTATTATTGGTTAATTGGCCTGAGCTTGAAAAATAATTGTCTTTGGATCATTATTAATTAGATTTTTTAAAACTTCAGAATATTTTAGTCTGTCTCTCTACATATGTACTCCAATCTTTATTTATTGCTTTAAAAATGTTTTAAAAATGGCTTGTTTTCATGCTACTCATTTGGTGATCACCTGTTTGCAATTTTTACTGTGAATGCTTGTACAACTTGATCATGTTACTGTAGCACGACAATTGTAATCCTCATTACAGAATGCTACAATTTGCTGCATGGCAGGAGAGTTAAAATGCTTGCCTCAGAAACTGTTGCATCTCTCATCAGTGACCTGAAAGGAAACATTGTTAAGAGCTCACTGCAAATTCCAGATTTCTGAATTGACAAGTTTTTAAAAGTGAGATAGGATTGGCAAGGAAATGATAACTGAAGTGTGACCCTAAGGACAGAGCAGATATGCTCAAAATGTTGATCTTCAGACTGCCTTCTCAATAAAGAATATAACAGGCTTATTCCATTGATACCTTTTTTCTATTATAGTGTAAAAACTGGTTGCGAATTTGGAGGGAAACTCGTGGAGTATAATGTTTCATCGTTATAACATTGTATTTTATTAATTTCCAATGAATTTTGTTTTTAAGCTGGATAACAGAACTCGGTTCAGAGGAAGAAAAGGATATTAACAATTCAAGTGCAATAGAAGATACTGCTAAATTTAAGTGTATTGATGGCTTCAGATCAATGTTTTGAATAATGAATAAAATAGTTCTCTCATTTGATTTAGAAAATCAGTTCTCAATGTTTGTTCTTTTTTTTTGTATGAGAAATTAGTAAAGGAATCATTTTTAAATTCAAGTTAATTTTGTTTATGCAATACAATTGTTTGGATCACTTGGCTTTTGATATGGCTTTAAGATTATATTGACACAAGTGAGGGAGAAAAATGATGCAAGTATCTTTACCATAAATTTCAGCAGCTGTTCATTTCCTATATTAAACATCAAGCTGCTTATATTACAGGGAGAGGTGTAATCACTGAAAAGCTTTAAAAAATTTGAATTTGACAGTTTGAGGTAGTTTCTTATATTGCATGCAGGACAGAGTTAATGGAATAAAACAGAACTTCTGAAGAAGAGTCACTGGTCTCCACCTTAACTCTGCTTTCCCTCTACAAAACTAATGGATTTTGCTGATATTCTAATGACACAAAAGAATTCTAGGTAGATTTGGGGAATGAATATTGCAAATGCTATATACCATTTTGTAATAAACTACTGCTTGATTGTAATTAGTTTTGAAAAGGGGCAATTAAGTCTTAATTATTTTACTTTTTTTTGTACATGGATGTGAACTGCAGTGTAACATTTAATTGAAAGATAAATACTGTTGAATGCTCTGATATATACTTTCTATGTACAGAAAGAAACTGCATTTATTTCTTTCACACATCTTGGTGTGTGTCACAGTTAAGTACTTTAGAAATTGTCACTTGTTAGCAAGGCTCAACAAAAAGCACGTGAACTAATTGGTAGTTCACTTTTTAATTTGGTTGCCTTATTGACCAGGACACACTTTCATAATAATGATATGGCATTGTTTATGTTCATTTGAATAGACAATATCTTGATTGAACTTCCAGAAATGTATTCATAATGTAATAAATGGAGCTTAAACACACTTCTAACTTAACAATACCAAACTGATACCTTACATCCAGCAATTTCCTAACTAACTAGCCACAGGTAGATCTACAGCAATAATGTTATTCCAGATGCGGAGTGCCTGGAACATAATGCCAGAGGAGGCAGTCACAATGTCAGCATTCACGAAGCACCTGGGCAAACAGAGGAATATGGATCCTGTAAGGAAAGACAGTTTTAGTATGAAAGGACAAAATATGTCAACCTTAGCTTGGAGGGCTGAAGGGCCTGTTTCTGTGCTGTATTGTTCTTTATAACCAAGTGCTCTAATTTTAGTAAAAATGCCTTGCAAACAATAGGTCATGTATCTTCATGTTTATCTTAAAAATTTGCCAAAATTCAATCTGATCCTTTTACAGCCTTTCCTGCTCACCTATATTTGGAATTGTGGCATGGATTTATATGCCCTTCAATCCACTAAATATGCTGTAACTTTGTGTGACCATTGATGCTTGATCATCCACATCAATGTGTCTTTCCCCCACATTATTCCCATATCCCTCCACATAAATGGTATTTGGAAGTCTCTCAATTTCTGCTTTAAATAGACTCAATGACTGAGCCTCCGCAGCCTTTGGGTTAGGGAATTTCAAAGTTAAAAGTTCTCCTCATCTCAGTCTTGATTGACTAAATCCTTTTTCTGATATTATGTTCCCTGTCTATTCCTTTAGGTATTTTGTAGGTTCTAATTAAATCGCTACTCATTCTTTGAAACTTTGGAGAACACAGGCTAAGCTTTGCTAATATCGCTCCATAAGGCAGCCCTGCCATCCTGTGAACAAGTCTGGTGAATTTTCAATTGCTATAAAATCCTTAGTCAGGTAAGGGGACCAAAGCTGCTCACTACTCCAGATGCTATCTGTCTAGTATTTTTATACAACTGAAGCAATACTTTATCACTCCTGTACTCTCATCCTCTTGTGATGAAGACTTAATATGCCATTAGCTACTTACATTGCTTGCTGCACCTGCTTGTTAGGCTTCTGTGATTTATTAATAAGGTACATTTACCCTGTTCTTTTATCATGTAAGAAACTCTCTGTACATCTGTTGTTCCTACTAAAGTGGATACCCTTACATTTTTCTACTTTACATTCCTCTGCTATGTTCTTGCCCAGTCACCGTCAGTCCAAATTCTCTTAAAACTCACATTCCCACCTAGCTTTGTGTCATCTGCAAACTTGGAAAATATTACATTTGATTCTACCTCCAATTCATCGATGTATTCTGAACCAGAGTCTGGATCCTTGTGGTACCTTGCTAGTCGCGGCCTGTCAATGTGAGATGATCTGTTTATTCCTACTATTTTCTGCTTGTTCTCACTGACCCTGCCAGAATAATACCTCATATCTCACATGCTTTAATTTTGCTAACCAACCTTCTGTGGGGTCCTTTCTCAGAATCCTTCCAAAACTCAAACTATACTTTTCCCACCAACTCCTCTCCATCGAACACCGTGAATTGTACTGATGATATCCTCAAAGGTGCCAGTTTTGTGAAACATAATTTCCTTTTCACCCATCCATGCTGATTATATAAGTTAGATCAATCTGTAGGTAGCTTTCAGAATCTATAGAATTTTGGAAGATGATCACTGATACGTTAGTTATCTTTACAGCTACCTCTTTGAACATATTGGGTTGTGGGATGTTAGGCCACTTACCGACTTCAGTTCAATTAATTTCATTAACTCAACTGTCTCACATACTAATTTCTTTCAATTTTGCGTTTTCCCTGGTTCCTTCTAAATCTCTGATTCTGGGAGATATCTTGTATCTTCCTCTGGGAGTACACACAAAGTAATGGTTTAGTTTTTCTATCATTCCTCTATTCTTTATGAATTCTTCCAACTCTACATGTTTGTCTTAGCTAGGTGTTCTGCACCTACGCTCGATTCGCACTAAACAACTGCACCTCCCAGTCGCGAACCATTTCAACTCCCCCTCCCATTCCTCAGACAACATGTCCATCTTGGGCCTCCTGCAGTGCCACAACGATGCCACCTGAAGGTTGCAGGAACAGCACCTCATATTCCGCTTGGGAACCCTGCAGCCCAATGGTATCAATGTGGACTTCACAAGCTTCAAAATCTCCCCTCCCCTGACTGCATCCCAAAACCAGCCCAGCTTGTCCCTGCCTCCCTAACCTGTCCTTCCCACCCCCCACCACCTACCCCGTCCTCCCACCTCAAGCCCCACCCCCATCTCCTACCTTATGGCCTCATCTCGCCCCCTTGACCTGTCCGTCCTCCCTGGACTGAGCTATCCCCTCCCTAACTCCCCACCTACGCTCACCTTTACTGGCTCCATCCCCACCTCTTTGACCTGTCTGTCTCCTCTCCACCTATCTTCTCTTCTAACCATCTTCTATCCGCCTTCCCCCCCCCCCCCCCCTTTTTTTCAGAAACCCCTTCCCCTCCCCCATTTCTGAAGAAGGGTCTAGGCCCAAAACGTCGGCTTTCCTGCTCCACTGATGCTGCTTGGTCTGCTGTGTTCATCCAGCTCTACACCTTATTATCTCAGATTCTCCAGCATCTGCAGTTCCTACTATCTCTGTCTTAGCTAGATTTTTTTTTAATGCATCAATAAAGTTCATTTGAATTTTTTTTGCTGGTTTACATTCATACTCTATTTTCTCTTTATCAGTTTCTTGATCCTTTGTTTTATTCTAAGATCCTTCAACTACTCAGGTTTGCTACTATTTTTAGCTACTTTATAAGCCTTATCTTTTAACCTTATGCAGTTTTTAAACTTTATTCATCCTGAATTTGTGAAACACTGCATTGCAGAGTTATACATCAGAACTACCTTGTGCGCTGCATGCAAAACAGGTAGATGCTGCTTCCCTTCGTCATAAGTGTCAGAACTGTTCATTATGCTTATTTTTTTAATGTCCAGATAATTGAATGGCCATTCCTTTCTCAATTAATCAGTGCCAAAGCTTCAATAATGTTTGTATATTAAGATCACATGTTCAATAATGTTTTTTACTTGCCAAGACTGAATTGCTAATTAGCCACATGTGACACTGGCTAATGCCTATCAGCACCATAATTACAATAGTTCCATAAATCTCTTGGTTGCATTGAGGCTTTGATAGCATCCAAGAAATAGTACATAGAAATACTTTAAACAAGATAAAAACAATGATGTATGGAACATGTGAACTGATGGCCTGACAAGCGTAAGTCTGTGTTCGCAAGCAGTGAGAGCTGGATAACAATCCAGCTTGGGCTAATAAGTGGTAAGTGTTATTTATATTGTTGCCAGATGATGACCAATGGAATATCATCTCTCTTTAACAGTCAACATAATTATCATCACTGAATTCCCTGCTGTCAGCATTCTGGGATCATTATTGACCAGAAATTTAAGCGACCAGGAGCAAGAAAATGTCTAGGTATTCTGTTCCAATTTATGGGGAAGGCAGTGGTGTAATGGTATTGTCACTAGGCTAATAAGCCAGATATCTAGATCGTTCTCCGAGAACCCAGGTTCCTGTCGCACCATGGCAGATGGTGGAACATGAAGTCAATAAAATCTGCAATTAAGTGTCTAATGTTGCCAATGCAACCAATGTCAATTGTCATATAAAAATCCCATCTGGTTCACTAATGTCCTTTAAGAATACTGCCATCCTTACCTGGTCTGACCTTGGCTGACTTTTACTTGCTGTCTGAAATGGCCTGCCAAATCATTCAGTTGTATCAAACATTTAAAAAATCCAAGAAAGGAATGAAACTGGATGCACCACCTGGCATTGACTAAGACACTGGAAACAACAGCAGTAAACGTAGCCCTCTCAACCCTGTAAAATCTTCCTGATCAACATCTGGGGGTTTGTGCCAAAACTGGGAGAGTATTACTAGTCTAGTGACAATACCACTATGCCAACATCTCTACCGCAAACCTGATTTGTTTTATGCCAATTTGTTTGTGCCTTAAGTAGCATTTGTGTCACATTTCCAGTCCCCAGAGCTAACGGTGTGTTTAGAGAAACCTGGAAAATTTCCCTCAATGCCTCTGCAATTTGATTGAGGTTTATTGTCACGTACTCACATGAGTACAGTGAAAAGTTTACAAGTTACC